TCTATCTAATACTTGATTTGCTTTATTTTTTTTCATCTACTTTCATAATACTTAGGTCAAACAATAGTGATTTACAAAAATGATAATCAGCTAAAACTAGACCTGTTCATAAGGTATACTTGTAATGTAAATGTTGTCCAACAGAAGTCTCTATTCCAAGAGTTGAATTGATTAAAACAGAATAAATATGTATTTTAACTGCTTTTACTTTTTTTAGCTGTTCTTTTAGTTTTTTTTACACTTAAAGATACATTTCTTTTATAACTGTTTGAGTTTGGATCAGCAGGAGATACGTGTAATATACCGATTTTGGTTTCATGTTTCTAAGTGAAACCATAGCTATAGATCCTTTTTTAGATCGTTTGTGCTATTTTTGTAGATGTTATATGCAGGTTAACCGTAAAATTTTCTCATTAGTTTCACAATAATGTATTAAATATAATAAAAGAACTATTATTTGACAGCACAATCCACAAGAGGCTATTGGACAACAACAATGTCCTTCTCTAGGAGTCATGTTTTCAAATAAAATAACAGCAAGCCGTATATCAGTACCATACAATCATTGCGTGAACAAAGACTACACTGATATTCTCCAGTATTTTTACAGAAACAAAGCATTCCTGCTCTATAGCATTTTTACTGCTTTTTCTTATAACAATAAGTTATAATGATTTCCTCGTTTAAAATGAATATAAGATTTCATCTGAAGACAATTTTTATGTAACTGTATGTCCAACGGATAAAGACTGTATTGGAACGTAGAGTATTGTTTTGTTTTGTCTCTCAATCGTTTAACTAAATTCGGATACAGCAAAAACTTCTGAATTTTTAAACGCAACTCTTCCAAAACTCGCAAAAGTTCCTGATAGTGACTGTCCAGTTACCTTTAGCCACAGCAAACATTGCACTTTATTAAAAGAATTAACGTTTTCTGACATAGTATGACCTTAAATAATTATTCATAGTAATAATAAGAACATTAATAATAACAAAAATAATAATAATAATAATAATAATAATAATAATAATAATAATAATAATAATAATAGTAATGATAACATTAATAACAAAACAACAATAACTAAAAAAAACAGTACTTTGAGAGAAAAGAAGAAGGGTAGATTTTAACATATTTATTTTTAATGAAATTTGACATTTAACGTAAACAAATCAATTTACATTAAAAAAATAGTTTTTAATCAATATTTTCTGACATAATACAACTTTAAGCTTGAACCGCTATTTTCAATAAAATAGATTAGACATTTTGATATAAACAAAACCATTAACAATTAAAAAACAAACTTTTTAAAAATTTTATTGTTATTATATTTTACTAACATTAAAATTTTTTTCTCCCTACAAACGCGCTATATGGAATTAGTTAATAAGGCCGAATAAATGACGGTCGAAGAAACGATGGCCGAAGCTTTTGGTAATTTTAAATCTTTATATGAATATGAGTTGTATTTTAATTAACTTTTATTTAATAATAAAATATTTATCAATATGTAACGTATTGCAAAAACGGTGGACTTAAATTTTTACATTCCATTTTATAATATTTTGAAATATCTCATCAATTATATGTTTTTGCGTATACCTTTTTTGAGTGAGGTAAACAATGACTTATTTTATTATATTTTTCTTCCAGCAATTTATTACGTCATAGAATGAAGAAAGCAAAAAGAATGCCAATTTAATCTGTTTTTTAAGATTATAAATCATGCGGTGCATTTTAATAATAGCGTTTTTTTGCTTCTATTATTTGTACATTAATATTTCTGATTTCTTTGGTGCAATAAAAAGTGTTTGGACAACTTTGGAAAGGCTAACTGTGTAGATATCTTTTTCAAATTTTACGATATAAAAAGCAAAAGTAAACAAGATTTTTATATTCAAGTATTGATAGATATTACTAAAATTAAAAGAAGCCACTTTAAAAGGATCTTGAAAAAGAAAAGCAGCCAAATAGCTTTTCCTATCATGTGAGTTTAGGAAATGTACGCATAGAATTATTTGCACATTTTTAGTACAGATAAAAATGCATTGCATTTTTTTCTGTACTAAGTATTAATGAAAAACGATTACGGTGAAAAATAAACCATAAGGTTATTTAAAAAACCCCTGAAGATAAAAGAGGAAAAGGTATTACTAATTGTCTTTCTCAGAATATTCATGAGATTGTTTGTAACCACATAATATCATTTTCATTCAAGAAATCGCATTATTTAGGCAAAAAAGTATATTACCTCAATGCAAGTTTAAATATATAGACAATGTGGCAACTTTTTGAGAAAAAACTCTTTTTACGGGAACCATTTTTATAGAAATTTTAACTTCAAGCACTTGTTGCAAGTGCAAAGAATTAAATCTTAAATTAAAATCACCACATCTCAATGATGTTGCTAAAAGAGCAGCGCAGGCTGATTTAGATGTTTATTAGAGCAGGAGTAAAAAATTTTACATTGCTTTAAAACAAGAAACATCAGAAGATCGTTCAAAAGAGGGGCACTTTCTATCATTGACATTTGACTATATGAAGACGATAAGCTCATTAAAAATGCCTATTAGATAACTTTACTAAACGAGACAGCTATCAGTCAATTTTTTTTCCATACATAACATTAAAGAAGAAAAAACTCATGTATGCAATTACCCTGAAGTTCAAGGAAGAAAAAGGCCTAATGGAGACTTTTATAAATATTTTTTTGATCTCAGTTCCACCAAAGTATAATACATTACGTTTTTTTTTGTGACAACTTTAGTGGGCAAAATAAAAATCAAACCCTTTCCCGTTTTTATTTAAAAATAAGTGACAGAGGTAGGTTTCATAAAGTCAAACAGTTTTTCCAAATTAGAGGGCATAGTTTCTTTCCTTGCATTAGGGATATCGACATGATATCAAATGTTTTAAAAACACATGACCGCAGTATTACATGAATTAACTAATTATTATTAGCAGTTCAAAATCACACAGTTTTCGATTTTAAACCTTGGAGCCTAAAACATTACATAAAATCTTGAATTTCTTTAGAGACATTGGGTAAAAATACCCCAAAGGAAATGAAGGTTCACTTTCTATTAGTTACCTTTTTTATGTGTGTTTTTAAAAAACACTGAATCATATATATATATATATATATATATATATATATATATATATATATATATATATATATATATATATATATATATATATATATATATATATATATATATATATATATATATATATATATATATATATATATATATACCCTGCGGGCATTTTGACGTCCTAAGGACGTCCGTAAGACGTCTTAGGTCTTGACTGTAAGACATCCTTAGTTAGTCTTAAATGAAAGGCTTGAGAACGTCTATTCCAAATGTCCTTAATACGTCTTTTTAAGACGTCCTAGAGACGTTTTTTGCACACGTTTTAGAGATGTCTCTGGTTTGTCTTATATGAAAGACTTAAGGACGTTTGTTTCAGACGTCCTAGAGACGTTTGCATTTTACTAAGACATTCTTTTGAAAGTTATATAAAAATGCAATGATTTACAACACAAACCTTAGATTTGCTTTAATCTAGGCGAGGGAAGTTATAAAAAGAAATCAATGTAAATTAAGTTTAATTTGATACATTTAAAATAAATTAATAACTTTACAAAAAATAAGAACAATTATTCAACAGTTAATTAAGCCATTATTGATCAAAATCCATATTAGTCGATGTTCTCTTTATTCGGTCAGAAGAATGCCAAATTAATCTCCCAATAAATTTGATGGCATCCA